ACACTTCGCAATGTACCACGATTGTCACCACTCGTTTGGATTTCATATTCGTTGTATTTAGTTTTAATTGGAATAAATGGCTTAATTTTTGCAAAAGAGCTAAATTGTTATTGTATAATTTGTAACTGAAAAGTTATAAATTTTACAATACATATGTAAAGAACTGTGTAACAAATGCGCCGCTGTTATTGTCAAATATACATTTTTTGATCATATACTTATCCAAACCTTTTACAGAAGTAAAAGGTTTTGGTATATTGATCACCCTAAACCGGAGCTAACTCACCCAATAAATACCATTTATTGTGGATTGAGGATAAACTCCGGTGACTTTTCTGTACATTTGACAATAACAGTGGCGGATTTTAAAATAATTCACAGTTCTATCTTTTAATATAATTCATCGGCACGATAAATTATATTAAAAGCGTTTCTTAAATATATTATTAATGATATACACTTGAGTATATTATACACTTATATATCCTACGATCTGCTAAGATTAGAATTTTCGTGACTGACGGCGATACAGAGTCGTGCAAATAGAAGTGAGACGAATGTCTACTTCTCAAGAAAGGCCTTGGCTAAACTTATTGTAAGTACATATTACAATATTAATTATTATTAAAATACAAGAAAAAATGTGTTAACAGATAATAATACATATTTGAACACAAATCTTTGTTACAGGTCATTAACAATAAGTGGGAGGAATCAGCGTTAACTCACATTTCTGTATTGAAGATGTAAACGGCGGAACGAACCAAGTTTCGTTTCTGTCTTAGCGGTGAAAGAAAGTGGGGCGATTACTCTCAAAGTAAAGCCTTGGCTTCAGCAAATGTAAGTTATTACGTGTAAAGTTATTAAATTTATTTTTGAGAGTATATTTATTTATTTAGTGTTAAAAATTGATATTGTATATTTTTTCAGTTGACGCCATAAATGCGATAAATGAAAGTCAGGAGGCACGAACTCACACTGTAAATGTGATTGAAAAATGTGTGAACAACGCAGAGGTGTTTAATGTGAGTTTTATATCATTAATAATGTCGATACACAAACACGTGTAGACTCTTAAAGCCATTGTTCTAATTAAAACTGAATACAATTAATATTAAATTTAAACGAGCGGTGACAGTTTTGCTATATTGTGAGGCGTGATTTTGAGTTAAAAGATGATGTAATTTTGCATCAAACAAAAAAATTGATTTTTGGACTATACAGTTGCACTGATAGTAAACCGCACATAATATTGTGGAAAAATTTTCGGGTGTAAGATACAGTTTTTGTCGAAACGTGAGCGTTGTATTGCGTGAGGTAGCACTAGAGGACTAAATTGAGAATGAATGACGCAAAACAACAGGTTGTCTGGCCAAAACCTGAGAGATTCTCGAATACGTATTCTCCACGGTTTGTGAAGAGTTTTCGCGTTCCGATTGTATAGATAGTTCAGGGTTCTATTATTATTTCGCATCCTTTACTTACGAGTTACTTTGCCAGCGAAAAAGAGATCGACGCGTGAAATCTCGTTTTCCATTGCGTGAAACACTTTTCTAAAGGACAATTTTTAAATGCATGCATTATTGCAACTGTAAATACAGTAGTTTTTATTGTGTTTGTATGTTTCTTAACTATTTTAAAATGTATTATACTTTTTATTTACGTATTGTGCTTTACGTTTTGTTTATCGCTTGCATGCAGTAGCTTTAAAAAATATGTATCTTTATTTCTTTATTTTTTTTTATTCCCTCAATCCTTTGGAAATGTACAATAAAAAATTGTGAAATAGTTATATTTCGTAAGTAACTTATTTGACAATTTTTTTACATTTCCTCCTGATGGAAGAAACCACCACTTTCTCGCGGTTTCCATCGAGCAGTAATGTGGACTGGAATGATATTTTTGTTACAACATGTCAATAACAGATGTGGTATATATTTCAGACATTTGTTATTTACTTTTATGCACGTATAATAATGTCTTAATTAAAACAAGTGTTTTAATATTTGTTATGTAGTGACATTGACGAGTAAGAAAGTTTAATATTTTCTAGATTTATTTCTGTCCACGTTTCTGGCAAAGAGTGGATTTCCCGTTTGTTAAAGTACCTATCCGACTTATTAAACTGTGAGCTTTAAAATGCTTCTTTAAATTTCTCAATAGTGGACTCCTTCTATTACAATGCGTTTAACTGTAGTACAATTTTTATATGAGGAAATTATTCCTTACTAGAATTTATTTGAATGGTATACAATTGAGGATATTGAAACAAATAAAGAAGTTATAAATTATACAATACATATGTATATAACTTTCTTATTTAGTTCAATATCCTCTGAAACACGTATATGTATATATATACATATATATCACGTTATTGGACATATAAATAAATAATATATAAAAATATAGTATTAATATTTCTATAAATATATTTGATAACGAAAATATACTTTTATATACATTTTTACTACAATTTTTTTCATGTTTATTTAATCATTTTTACATTATTCATCTCTACATCATCTCTACATTATTCCAAAGATCGCTCTTTAGTTATCGTGCACCGGCAACTCAGATTCACACCGAGATACCGAGAAAGCATTTCCAGCGTAAAAACATTCGTCGATCGCGCAAGCTGTGTGAGAGCGACAAGGAGGGAGCGATATTCTCCCTCTCGCTCGGAACGGCCGAGCGCTGCCGACACACCGATAGACCGAGCGTCATTTGTGTGCGTTAGTGGAGGGGGAAATTCGCGTGCGTGCCGGGGCTCGAAATCGCAGCACTGGCCGCGGGGCTTTCTAGGGCTTCCCACTTCTCGTCACATCCCCACTTCGTCGCCTGTTTGCGCCGCAGTGCCAGATGTTCCGACTTTCTCTTTCCCCCTCTCCACGTGTTTACGCGTTCGGGAGTTCCAGATGTTTCCCATGGAAATTTCCGCTGTTTTCGCGTTCTAGGGGCTTCGCCGCTTTGGTGCTCGTGCACCGGTTATTCACCTTCGGCGTTTTCGTCCGTCGTCGACGCCGACCTATGCGCACGTCTTAATTACGCTTATTATACGCGATTCCGCACGTTTTTCCTGTGGACGATGTCCAGGTGTATCGCACCAGGGACGCCAATGACGCCGACCTACTCTGACCACTCGTGGTGGTTGCCTGACCCTATTTCCGCGACCGTTCCCAGGCGATGACGCTTGGATCGAGAGATCGCGGGACGTCGCCGTATCTTTGGTCCGGGTGACCGGGGTTCGTCGCCGACCTATCCTGGCGGTATTCTAGGTTTGCCTGGTGTGTCAGGGCTGGTCCTTCCTTGGGGATGATGTCCGGGAAGCTGGATCGTGGGCCGTCGCCGGGATATGCCTCTGCGTCACCGGATCGCGTCGCGGATCTAGTCTGACTTCACGCGAGACCTCGCTGGTCTGTCAGATGCTAAGTTTTCGCGTGTCGCCCTAACTCTCGCGTAGTTCATCGGACAGCGTCGCTGACTTAGCCTGTCTACCTGTTTAAGCCCCTATGTGGGCCAGGACTTAGAGTTTCTCGCGTGTCGCGCTAATACTCTAACATCACCCCATCTGGGGTCTGACCGCCCCATCGACTTAACTTGTTTTCCGGATTTGTCTATGTTCTGAGCCAGAACTTGGTTTTTCGCGTGTTGCGCCAACTCTTTGCCTTCGCGTCGGACAAGTCCCGTGACTTGGTCTGCCGTTATACTCTAACCCGGATTTGAGTCAGGACTTAGCTTTTTGCACGTCGCGCTAACTTTTCACCTTTGCGTCGGACAAGTCCCGTGGCTTGTTCTACTGCTCGGCTCTGGCCCCGTTCTCCGGCCGGGCTGGTCTTTGTGAAGATTGTGTGTGGCTCTCCGCCTATATTGTGCGCCTTTGGCGCCGATCCGCGCACGCGAAAGTAAAATAAATGGTTTTCAGGCTAGAGCCGTTTATTAATAAACTAAAATTATTGGATCGGTCCATGGGAAAACTTAATGCTACTTGGGCCGTTGCCCTGCGATCTTAGTCGCCTACCTTATATCCTATTTATGTACAGCGACGCCGGGTGGGATTGTCGCTACACAAGGGCTTGCCGTCTCCACCCTCGGAGCGCCTGTCACTCTCCGACTACTCGGGCCTCATCTCTGCGTCCCCTTCCCCGTTAGACGTTTCCGCCTCCGGGCTTTGGAACTTTTCCGATGACGTTCCCTCCGCTGCGGCTACCTCCGTCCTCGTCGCGCTGGCTCCCTCCACCTGACTTACCAGCGTCTCCGTCGCGGTTTGTATTGCCAGAAGCTCCTCCATCACCCGTGACAAGGGCTCCGGGTCCGCGACCGTCACCATTGCCGCCTCCACGAGGCATGCCGCCTCGCTTGGCGCCTCTGGGACGACAGCCCGATCGGGCTCCCTTACGGGACCCACGTCCGGCGCTGCCGGTGCTTCGGTGGTCGTGCTGGCGGCCTGCTCGGTCACCGCACCCGACTCGTTCATGGCTGGCTCCTGCATCGGCGGATTCGCCGCGTCTTTTGCCCCTCGCTCGACGGAAGGCTCTGCTTGGCGACTCGCCTGCTGCACTACGTCATCCGTCAAACGGCGCAGGACCACCCTCGGTGACCCTAGTACGACGGAGCTCCGCACCTTTATGCACGGCTTCAACGTCACACCTGAACCGAACTTATAAATTAATGTCGCGTGGTAATGAGAAACGATTGTTCGCTCTCGCTCGCAACAGACAACGTCGTCGATCGGTAAACATGTCGTGTTGAACTTCGCTCTGAAACGGAAAGTGTTAATCATTCGGAACTTTTATTGTAGACTATGGTAATAAACTCTGTTATCGTTGGTGAATAAGAAACTCTGGTTAGATACTCAGCCGATCCTTTTCCTGAATTTTCATCGCGCGCGCTTAGACATTTTTTTGGTCCTTCGAGCCGGATCCGTGTTCCGCGTCCGTGTACGGTCTGTGAATGCGTGCTCCGGTCAGCTCCAGTAAATCTGGAAAGCAATCGGCAAAATGAATCTCGACATGAATGCTCTTCTCATGAGACAGCAAGAGTTGTTCACCCGCATATCCCGAGCAACTGACAACACGAGAAAGTTGGGTAAATCCAACTCAAGGCATCATTGAAACTCGCATTAAAACGCTGGACTCCAGCGGGGTGAAATATGAAGCCCAACATGAGATTCTCTGCGCGCGATTCTTTGCTGAACTCAGATACACAGATTACTTCACGGCGGATCTACATGAAACAACAGAGAATGCTTACGTTATGCAACGGGGCACCCTGACTGACTGGGCGAACTGTCTGACGCAAACGGAGGGAAATGGCAATGCAGCAACTGCCTCGGCCAGAGAGGCCACTCCGCACAACCTCCTGCCGCGCATCAACCTGCCTCAGTTCTCTGGTGTCATTGAGGACTGGCTCTCTTTCCGTGACCTGTTCCTCTCCGTCATAAATCGCCATCACACGATCACGGACGTTGAGAAGCTGCATTATCTTCGAACGTCCCTGCGAGGTAAAGCGGCAAAATTAGTGAGAAATATACCTCTAATCCACGGTAATTTTGAGCGAGCCTGGGCGACGCTCCGGGAGTTCTACGAAAATCAGAGAGTCTTGGTGCGTTCCAACTTCTCCGCTTTCACGGCTCTCGCGAAGATGAAGAGCGAGTCCGCGATCGAGCTGCGACGGATCTTCCACGGCATGACGAACACCGTAAATGCTCAGGAGAACCTCGGTCGACCGATCGCCACTCACGGCATGGATCTCTTTGTCCACATCGCGGTCGAGCTCCTTGATCCTCAAACTCGGCGCGACTGGGAGGCCGCCATCCGGACATCGTTGAAGCCTCCCTACGACACCTTCCGAACTTTCGTCATCGAGAAGATTCGCTCGCTCGAGGCTCTCACGCCTGTCACATCCAAGGGTGAGTCCAAGACCAACCAAGCCAAGGCTAGCGGTACACGATCCGCGAAGTCGAACCATGCCAAGACTACCTCGGGATCGGGCAGCTGCGTGGTGTGCAAGGGCTCACACTATCTGATGGGCTGTAGTGACTTTCAAGCGAAGACTCCGAGCGAGAAGAAGACCATTGTCGAAAGCAAAAACTTATGCTCTAACTGCTTAGGCAACCACCAAATTGCCAAATGTCCGTCGACCAAGACGTGCATCCTCTGCAATGCGAAGCACCACTCGCTGCTGCATGATGCCAGCTCCAAACCAGCGATCGCCGAGGCCAGCACACTCACGGCAGTGCAGCATGGCGACGATCGCAAGGCCATTCTGCTGGCCACTGCACGCCTCTCCATCACCGACCGCCATGGAACTCAACAACCGCACAGGGGGGCCAATTCCCGAAAAGCTGGCCAAAAGTCGAAAAATTAAGATATTTACTTGAAACTTGGTATATAAGGGTTTTTGGGGTCGCTGATAACGAATAAGTCAAAATTAAAAAAAAAAAAAACAAAATGACGGCTATAAAATACTAAAAAGCATATCTATAAATCGTAATTTTTATTGATTTTATGTTTAATTTTGTACACATACGTTTTCAAAGTCGCTGGTTAGTAATCTGAAGTCAAAATAAAACAAAAAAAACAAAATGGCGGCTATAAAATACTAAAAAGCATATCTATAAACCGTTATTTTTAATTATCTTATGTGAAACGTGGAATTTATAGGTTTTTGGGGTCGCAAATAACGAATCTGGTAACAAAATGAATGGCAGATGTAAAATGACGAATACAAGATTTCTAAAATCCATAATTTTTATTTATTTTATGAAAAAAACTTGTGACAAATAAATTAAGAAGTACAATACAAAGCCGAATGTAAAAAATAAATTTGTGTTTACAAAAATATTAATCTAATATTTCCATACAAATAGTTACATGCAAGTACCTAATATTTACATAAAATTTACATACAAATTAGTTTTCATCATCAGTTGAATTATCTGTATCTAAACCTGAAGAATCTGATGATATCGAAAAAGAAGAGATAGAATCAGCACTGGACGCATAAAGTGATAGTGAAGTAAGCAATTCAACTGTTTCCGGATATAAGAATTTTAATTTCTTTTGTGGCAATTTTCTTAAATTTGATATATACGGATCTGATGACGCTAGCAAGCGCAAGAAAAAATCTTCCATCGTTTTTGTTCTACTGCATTTTCGTGCAAAATCTTCACGGTATCTTTTAATATATTTATTACAAGACTCCTGTGCATCTTCAGACATTTGTCCAATTGGCAGTAAAGCAGATTGTATTATTTCAGAGCCGTGAATTAAAAGTTTGTGTATAAAAGTAGGCATGTAGAACCAGGGATATAAATCGACAAATTTTTGAGCTGTCTGTATTGTGTATTCTTGGAAATTTGGTATGTTAATTTTATGACCACTTGTAATAACTTGTAAAATAATATGAAATCTTTTAGTAAGATCTTCGTCAACGCCCGTTATAGCAGCGGAAATGGATTCATTTTCAAAAAATCGTCGAGCAGTATTCCCATCATTCGTATTGCCAAATCCAGATTTTGGTTTATCAACAATAAGGCCTAACTGTTGGCGAAAACCTTTTTGAATTGTTTTTTTTTCTATCTTCTATTAATTTCTTTTCATTTCCTCGCGCTTGCCATTTTTTAATTTCGATTTTATACGAAATAAGCAAACAACATTCAAAGAATCGAATCCACATATGTAATGTAGATAACCCGAAACATAAACTATCTCTATTAATTTCTTTTTTTTTTAATTAAATCTATATTATTAAAATCTTTAGAAGTAGCATTACATAAATAACAACGTTGAGTAGACACAGTGCCAGTGATTGCGTTGCAAACTTTACCATCAATCATCGTCAAAGCGAGTTCATAATTAACTGTGATGTATTTTCCATCTAATACAGTGTTAAAAGGTATAAGTTTGCTCACTTGTTCTTTTATATTCTCTGTTTGTTTGACAGTGGCTTCAGTAGTTTCATGCAAAGTTCAATTTTTATTGGCCTACAAAAGCGTGGTGATGATGGTCTCGGATTTTTCCATACAATGATTTTTTCAGATGTATTTTTATCAATCGATATAAGTTGCAGTGGAACAAGTGAAGTAAAAAAAATATTAGCATCTGATTTACTTACATCATCATCATCACTAAATTTTTGCTTATACATACTAAGGCCTGAACTACCCACAGCCCCATTTACAAATTAAATTTAAATTTGAAAGCTGTTCACGAGTCGAAGTTTTTATGACATCCATTTGAATCTTCAAAATTCGATTGATTGTATGGCTCAGTAGAGATTGTAGTTTAACTTCTGCACTGGTTTCACATATGCTAATACTATTTTTTTCCGGGTAACAGTCACGCTTGGCTTTTAAGATGGATATAATTTACATTTCTTTTTTACACTTAAATTCCTTAGCCCCTTATATTGACTTCGCGATAGTTTTTGTTCCATTATAAGTGAAACAGCTTCATCAGCAGAAAAAGTGACTTCAGGAATTAATTCCAAAAAACTTCTGTATTTTTGAGCCTTAGATGGACTACTCGAAGATATATCTTTAACAATTTTAGCAGCTTCCACTTTTCCCTCAGCTCGTAACTTCATGTGTGTTGCATAGGAGAATTCTTCGATACTTGATTGCGATCGAATGTTTTCGGTTCTTCTTCGCTTCGTTCTTTCACTGCATTGTGCAAATTCCGGTTTTGGGCGACCCATATGTCCTTTATCTGACGATGACGTAGTTTGAGATTTATCTTTATTTTCATCGAGATAAACAATTACATTTAGCCACTGCTTATTTTTTTCCAGAAATTTTTGTTCCATTCGCTTAACTTCCTGCCACTTTGTTTTCAACTTATATAATAGTTTAAGAATGACAGATTTCGCATTGCCTGATAATATAAAAGGCCGCTCCAACTTTTTTGACAAATAATCTTCAATTTTTTTATAAGCAGCATTGTCATTTAAATGGCCTTTCAGTAATGTAAAAATTTTTTCCCTCGACAAACCAGAAATTTGTTGGGTACTATTAAAACCTGAAGAAACAAAGTTTTAAATTAATGTATGTATGTAAAAAATATATATATTTATATATATATGTAGATATATGTATATATACATATGTAATGTGTATGCAAAAGTTTCCAGCCAGTAACATTTTGTACTCACTGCAACCGCACGCGCCGGGTCGACCAACCGCCATTGACATGGAGGGCGGTGCCGCACGGAACGGCGACAAACCAGAAAGATGAGCCCAGCGGCAAGTTTCAGCCCATCCAGCGGGGAAGACAACTCCGTAGACGAGGGGGACATCCCCGAATAGTTTTAAGTTACGTGAGCGCTCCGAGGACGGAGTCGAGGCGATTTTCATTATTTTCACTTTATGATTCATTTTTGGGTTTAATAAAGTCATCGATTTTACCCGTCCGGCGCAGTTAATATTAAGATATGCGACAGCGGTCGCCGAGCAGCGGCTCGACTAGCCAGTAAAACATTTTCTTCACAATCCACAGAATTTTAATTTCTTTTGGCACGAAGGTGTCCGGCCCGATCAAGAGTAAAGGGACTTTCGTTTTGTGTTCAACAGGTGCGTGGATCGGTAATGCACCGATAAATTACATGGTCGAGTCACACACAATCTTCAGAGCGCGGGCACTTAGTGCACGTGCCGCGCGTGCTACGCGGGTAAGAGCCGAACTGCCGATTCCTGGGATCCCCAAAAGGGGAATCCACGAGGAACCAGCACGATCCGATTACGCAAACATGGGGTTTGCCGGACAACTGACGAAAATGCGAACGCGGCGACGCAGCGCCAAACGGCGGAAACTGCAACCAGAGGGAGGCCTCACCGACCCCTGGAAACAATCGCGAACGCGATCCGATCACGCAAACATCCAGTTTGCTGGACAAGCGGCGAAATTGCGAACCGAGCGTCGGCGCGGGAAAAGCCCGAACCTGTGTACTCAGGGGGATTAGCTAGACCCCAGGAATCGATCGCGAGCGCGATCCGAACGCGCAAACATAGGGTCTGCCGGACAGCTTACGAAATCGCGAACCGAGCGTCGGAACGGAAAAGGGGCAAAACTGCGTACTCAGGGAAGGTAAACAAAGCCTAGGAATCGATTGCGAACAAAATCCGATCACCCAAACACCCGGTTCGCCGGACAATTTGCGAACTTCCTAACCAAGGGTCGTAGCGGGAAAAGATTCAAACTGCGTCCTCGGGGATACCTAGTACACCCGAGAAACGAATCGCGGTCAAAATCCGACCATCCTAACGGGGGGTTGCCCGGACAGTCCGGGTAACCGATGATCCTAGACGTCGGCTACAGGAAGTCAGGCCGGAATACGGTTAGTAGGAACCGGGGGAATAGGCAGATAGGTCACCGCCATCGGCGGACATCTAGAAAGCGACCTGGACGTCTTCTCCAGGAAGTCGACCCGGAATCGGCATTAGGGACGTAAGAGAGGCCGTGCGCACGGGTCGGCGCCATCGAAAGTCCATTATTCAAAGAGGCGGAAAACCGCTACCCGGGAGCTGATTAAGCGCGTCGTAAATAGTGTACTGGCAGCGGAAATTTCCATCGCGAACATCTGGCGCACACCTGGCGAGTCAAAGCTCGTAAACAGCTATTGTAACAGCGTAGAATGGAAAATTACCGCGAGGAGAAAGCGGCCGAGACCCCATGGTGGGGGTAAAACTTCGGAGGTAGGGAGCCCGAGAGAGGAATATTCCTCGAGGCAGTCTCTTGTGGGCGCTCGAACGGTAGCTATCTTCTCGCGCGTATGTCCCGGAGTATCGTAGTTAATATCGCGAACGCGAAACGGAATACGATTTGTAAGCCTACCACAGTGTCTGAAACAAACGGGAACGCCCGCTAACAGCGTTACGTGACGCCGATACGAAAGGCGTACGGGTTTTCGCGTACCTGAATCGTGAAATCGCACTTTGCGAGACGTGCGACCGCCATCTTGTGCGGCAATCAGTAATTGTGAACCACCATCATTGTGAAACGATAGTTAACAATAAAAGCAATAATTATTTGCAAAAATATATACAAAAATATCAGTTACTGACCTTCAACTTACCTGAACAAGCGGCTGTCCGGCCATCTTGGTGATAGCGTTAACCGAGCTTCAAGGTCATCATAGATTCTGCTTCTGAGGAGGCCATAGATGAGGAAACCGTGACGGAAACCTGCAAACAAACGACATTAATTATAGTTACGCGGACAGTTCTCATACTTACCTGGTTGTCCGGCTAGCTCCTAGACGCGGTGATCCTGGACATCGGTGAGCAGCGGTGATCCATGACGTCGGCGATGGTGATGAGGAATCCGTAGACGAAACCTGAAAATAAAAGAGAATTAATAGCGTTTTACTTA